ATCCAAGTTTAAGTTGAGTGTCTAATGTTTAATGGTTGTAAGTTATCTATAGATCTGTTGAGAATTTTTTCTGTTATATGAAAAATTATTTAATGAATGAATGCATTGGTCAGTTTTTTATTATTCTAAATATTGTAGTTACGAGTTTATGTCATTTAGATGCCATATCAGATATGACAGATTAAAGTTTCAGCTCTGTTTCTGATTCCAGCTTTCTGGTAATGTGCATGCCATTAACAGGGAGGGCCCAAGTACTGCATCCCTGTCACTCACCTTGAAGACTGAGATTAAGTTTCTGGCTCTTGGATTTGGCTTGACTTACCGTAGTTGTTATGAGTTAGTGAATGGAAGATTCTCATTCATTCTCTCTTTCCCCTTTTAATGTCTTTTTTTTCTTTTTTCTTTCTTTCTTTTTTTTTTTTTGACAGGCAGAGTGGACAGTGAGAGAGAGAGACACAGAGAGAAAGGTCTTCCTTTTGCCATTGGTTCACCCTCCAATGGCCGCCGCAGCTGGCGCGCTGTGGCCGGCGCACCGCACTGATCCGATGGCAGGAGCCAGGTACTTATCCTGATCTCCCATGGGGTGCAGGGCCCAAGTACTTGGGCCATCCTCCATTGCACTCCCTGGCCACAGCAGAGAGCTGGCCTGGAAGAGGGGCAACCGGGACAGAATCCGGCGCCCTGACTGGGACTAGAACCTGGTGTGCCGGCACGGCAAGGCGGAGGATTTTTAGCCTAGTGTGCTGCAGCACCGGCCCTCTTTCCCCTTTTAAATGAATATTTTCCATAACAATAAACCATAGGAACATATGTAATAAGATCGTTATATGGAGTACAATTTAATGTTTAGCAAAATCAGTGAACTAAACTATTGGGAATAGGTACTAGTGCATTACTTGGGAAACATATTTTATGATTGTCAGTTCTCCATGACTAATGGATGTGTTGAATTTGGTCCAAACAACATTCACAACATGATGTGTTGTTGCTTCCGCTTACTACTGGTGCTGGAGCTCTTGTTCTTTGGTGAGAGTAACTTGATCAGTGGATTATAACATTTAAATAGAAATGCAAAACAACAAAAAGAACAAATATAGTCTTAGAGAAAATGAACATATTTGCTGAACTCTCTATTGCTTTTCTACTGAAAGTTTTGTACTTAGCTTTGCAACATCAGTATTGTGGGGAGCAATTCGGACTAGACTAAGTTACTGGAATTAAGACTTACTCTATGCATCTGCTCTCCCACAATATGGCGCTGGGAGAGAAGAAAACAGCTTTTACACAGCTGCCTCCAGTTCAACCAATAAACTGTAGGACTTGCTCCTGATTGGAGAGCAGCGTACTCGGCGTGTGGGCAGCCGAGTTGGGATTGGCGGAGGAGGACTATAAAGGAAGAGAGAGACGGCATGCACCAGGAACATCTAAGGGGAACATCTGAGGGAACACCTGTGCAGCCCCCGAGAGAGCCGGCCGGCGGAGTGCCGCTCCCCTGCGGAAGTGGGGAATGTGGCAGGGGGAACCGCCCTTCCACGGAGGTGGAAGGGACAGTAGCCAACTCGGGAAGAACCAGCAGCAAACCCGGGGAGGGCCGAGCAGACAGGAGAACAGCGCAGGGTCCTGTGTCGTTCCTCCACGAAGAGGGGGAGCGACATAATGGTGCCGTGACTCGGATATGAAGCCTAGGCAGGGTTTAGTGTCGTTCCTCCACGAAGAGGGGGAGCGACATAATGGTGCCATGACTCGGATATGAAGCCTAGGCAGGGTTTAGTGTCGTTCCTCCACGAAGAGGGGGAGCGACAAGTATCATCTTTAAGTTTTTTAGAAATGTAGATTTCTAGATATTTAATCAGAATCTTCATTTTAATAGGAACTCTGGGTAGATTGTGTATGCACTAAATTTAAGAAACAGGGCTTTATCAGATATTTGGAGTTTTATAAACTTGAATAATTAAGACCACATGATACTTGTACAAGGTTAGATAAATGACCAATAGAACAGAGGAAACAGGGCACAGAAGTAGACATATGCAGATGCCAGTGCATGATTTATGACAAAGGAAGAGGGGAAGGGGTATCCCACATCTTGTGACTGGTCAATCCAGGAACACAGACTCCTGAATCCCTCTCAACATTGGATAGCTCTGGGGCTGGCGCTGTGGCGTAGTGGGTAAAGCCTGCAGTGCCAGCATCCCATATGGGCGTTGGTTCAAGTTCCGGCTGCTATACTTCCAATCCAGCTCTCTGCTATGGCCTGGGAAAGCAGTAAAAGGTGGCCCAAGTCCTTGGTCCCTTGTACCCATGTGAGAGACCTGGAAGAAGCTCCTGGCTCCTGGCTTCAGATCAGCACAGTTCCAACCATTGCGGCCAATTGGGGAGTGAACCAGCAGATTGAAGTACTCTTTCTTTCTCTTTCTCTCTCTCTGCCTCTCCTTCTCTTTCTGTGTGTAACTCTGACTTTCAAATAAATAAATAAATCTTTTAAAAGTACTGGATAGCCCTGCAGGACTACCAAATGCAGAGAATTTGTATTTAAGGACTTAGTGTCAAGGGATCTCAGTTCAGTTTTTCTCTGTGGCTAACTCTTATTATCAATTTGAAACTGAAAAAACATTATATCTGTCCCTGAAAGATGCCAATAAAATTGGTGGTATTGATATTGTTTGTGGGTCTAAAAGAGAAGAGTTTTCTTAAGTCCAACACCATGGTCTCCTTTGCTCAACTCAATGTTAACTGATGTCTGTTGAAAGCATCATGAAAATTTGAGTGAAACTCTTCCAATGGACAAAGTGGGTTTCCTGTAAAGAATGTTTCTATCAAAGATGTTCATTGTGGCAACTTGGCTAACTGACGGCAAAAACAACCCATGGATGAAAACAGCTGGCTTTGCTTCCTAGGTGATTGTTCTGAATCGTCTCAGCCAAATTCAGTTCTGGCTATGTCACACAGCTCATAATGCTTTCAAGTTTGCTGAGCTGAAGTGAAAATTGATCACCATCTGATATGGAGCTAGATGATAGCTCCAAATTCTTGAAATCTGCTCTTGCTGCCATTATCAGAGTGGTAACTGGCAAGCCCATTTGTGTTGAGAACGTCTCTGAATATCTTCTTCTGGGTGGATTTGCTGTTTGTGATATGAGACAGAGAGTTACTGAGACTGTCATCAAAGTGTGAACAAGAAGGCTGTAGGAGTTGGCAAGGTCACCAGTCTGCCCTGAAAGCTCGGAAGGCTAACTTATGGTTATACGTAACACCTGTCATCTGTTTTTTTTTATTTTATTTTATTTTATTTTATTTATTTATTTATTTATTTTTTTGACAGGCAGAGTGGACAGTGAGAGAGAGAGACAGAGAGAAAGGTCTTCCTTTGCCATTGGTTCACCCTCCAATGGCCGCCGCGGCTGGTGCGCTGCGGCCGGCGCACCGCACTGATCCGATGGCAGGAGCCAGGAGCCAGGTGATTTTCCTGGTCTCCCATGGGGTGCAGGGCCCAAGCACCTGGGCCATCCTCCACTGCACTCCCGGGCCACAGCAGAGAGCTGGCCTGGAAGAGGGGCAACCGGGACAGAATTCGGCGCCCCAACCGGAACTAGAACCCGGTGTGCCGGCGCCACAAGGCGGAGGATTTTTAGCCTAGTGAGCCGCGGCGCCGGCCTACCTGTCATCTGTTTTTATCAGTGCTGGAAATAATTTTTTCAGAATTATTTGGATCAATTAACCTTTTAGGTTTAAGGCTAAAAAGGGATTAATGAGAATAATGCATCATGAAATCTCAGAAGTAAAGGAGAATGTTTTCTGAGGCATTATGTGTGAGGACACTGTGGAAGTTTAAAATTATTAGTTTTTAAAATAAGTAGTTTTGAAATAAAAACTTGGCCAAAAATCTGTTTGAACTTTGAGACCAATAGAAACAATGTTTTATCAGAGGGAAAAAAAATCTTGCTTTCAATACACCAACTCCTACTCTCACCTCAGCTTGCAGACTGAATGGCTCCTGCCTCCTCCCTTCCCTGGCTCAGGAAAGATGATTCCAATGCTGGTTCTCCCTTCCAGCTGAGCGCAGCTACTTACCTATCCAGATGTGGATGTAACACAAAATATTGAGAAAAAGCACATTTGTTTCAGTGACTTATTTATAATTAAGTGATGATCACATATTGTTAACAATTTTTGAAAATTCATTTAAATTTCTGTCCTGCAAAGAGAAAAACAATATGAAAGCAATATTTAAAGCCTCTCCATTTTCCCTATTTTTGCTCATTTATTTGTACAATCTTTAATGGGTACCTGAGATTCGAATATATGTAAGAGCCAAAAATCATTCAGCTGTTCCCCAATATCTTTACCTTCTAACATTTACATTCAGGGCCTTCAAAAAGGAATTAAAATTTCAGCTACCCTGGCCGGCGCCGTGGCTCAGTAGGCTAATCCTCTGCCTGCGGCGCCAGCACCCCGGGTTCTAGTCCCGGTCGGGGCGCCGGATTCTGTCCCTGTTGCTCTTCTTCCAGTCCAGCTCTCTGCTGTGGCCTGGGAATGCAGTGGAGTATGGCCCACGTCCTTGGGCCCTGCACCTGCATGGGAGACCAGGAGGAAGCACCTGGTTCCTGGCTTCGGATCAGCGCGGTGTGCCAGCCGCAGCGGCCATTGCAGGGTGAACCAACGGAAAAAGGGAAGACCTTTCTCTCTGTCTCTCTCCCTCTCACTGTCCACTCTGCCTGTCAAAAAAAAAAAAATAAATAAATAAAATAAAATAAAAAAAAATTTCAGCTACCCTGAGATGCAGTGCTAGAGACAGTAAATGGCATTTTCCTGAATGGGAGCTGTCCAGTATCTTCAATCTTTTCCCCATCTGCCTGTTTATTCTCTACATCTCTGTCTTGAAGAAAGTGCCCCAGCTGTTACTGTGGTGCACCTTCCTTCTCCTCAATACAAAAAAAATTATATCACCTATGATGCCTATGATGTCATAATTACAATTTCATTACCTCATCCTGCTGGGATGAACAGAGGAAGGAGAATTTCTTCAGGTTCACAAAGTGTTCTGGGTAGAGATAATTAACCAAGTGGGAAGAATCAGCAATCACTTCTAAATCCTGGATGTATAAAGCTTGAGACAAGCCTGAGGCTGGAAGAGGTACTCCTGGGACTCACAGAAGGACACTCAGAGCCTTGGCCTACACTTCAAGCTGTGCATAGGTTGTCTGCCGATTAAAGAGACTTTCCTTCAGAGAGGGGACTCTAGAGGACAGGGAGAAGAGCAACTGCGAGGAGACTTGGCTAACAGGAGGAGTATGAATAGCCAGGAAAGCAAACAAACAAAAATATAGCTTCTGAGAGCAACTACCCCTGTCCATCCAAAAAGGAGGTAAATCTTATGTGTAAACTTGATCTCTCAGGTTTGGTTTTCTAAGAACCATAAGCAGTTGGATGCAGGAGTCATGTAAAGTAGCCAACTGAAAACTGGAGTTTGGAGCTGGATTGCTTGCTGGCTGATTGGCACTGAAGACCCCCTCATCAGTGGTGGTTGTATCACTGACAGACTATGTGTGGCTTGTGGCAGTGGTGTAATTACTAAAAATCCATTACTGTTGAATGGAGATGAAACACAAGCAGAAAGGAATATGAAAAGTGTGATGGTTCAAGATTTTGGAATTTACATAAGAATTAGCAACAATAATTTTATGGAATCTAATGGATGTTGCTGAGTTCAGTGGATGTTTCAGAAGGGCTGGGAATGATTAATTTCCAATCAAAAACTATGAAGGCCAGATGGCATCCTTGGCAGCATAGAAAGGCATGCTCATTCCCTGAATCTGGAACATAGAGAGCACCTGGGATCAGGATTAAGATTTAATTATGAGGGAGCAGAGCTCCTGCGAAGGTTGTACTTGCAATCGCAGTAACATGTTACACTGAAGTCGGGGGCTTGATAAGAAGGGCTCTGAGGTTTAGTGCAGTTCTCTTTGCCAATACAACAGCACACCCTCAAATCTCAGATTCACCTGGCAGCTTTGCACCTGCAGAATGTTTCAATTCTGTTTTAAAGCATAAGAATCACCACTTCCTTGAAGAAATTGCAGATATCACTTTTCTTAAATGAAACATGTGCTCCCTTCATTGCTGACACCCTCATCTCTTCTAGAACACAATTTTAACGGTTATCATTATGCGAGAATTAGTTTCCTGTGGCTGTTGTAACAAAACAAACTTGGTGGCTTAAGACAATAGACATTTATTCTCTCACAGTTCTTGAGGTTAAAAGTCTTAAATCAGTATCAATGAACTGAAATCAAACTGTAGGACTTCTGTGGGCTACTAGTGTTTTTCCACTTTCGGTTTTACACTGCTATCTCACCTTGCTTTCCACTTGTCTGCCTGTGTTAATGCACCTTCTCCCTCCATTGTTTAAAGATGTATGCGATTATATTTGAGACCCATCAAATCTTTAGTCAATATCTTTAACATAATCATATAAACAAAAATCCTTTTGCCTCATAAGTTAGCATTTATATGTACCATGGGTTAGGGTTTCCTATATTTATGTGGCCATTATTTAGCTTACCACAGGCAATAATTCACAATACTATCCTATATGGAGAGGGATAGATACATTTTCTTTTCTAAAAAATGGAATGGGGGGCCGGTGCTGCAGCGTAGACGGTAAAGCCACCTCCTGCAGTGCTGACATCCCATATGGGCTCTGGTTTGAGTCCTGGCTGTTCCATTTCTGATCTGGCTCTCTGCTCTGGCTTGGGAAAGCAGAAGATGGCCCAAGTTCTTGGGCTCCTGCAGCCACGTGGGAGACCCAGAAGATACTCCAGGCTCCTGGTTTTGGATCAGCCCAGCTCTGGCCATTTTGGGGAGTGAATCAATGGATGGATGACCTCTTTCTCTTTCTCTCTCCCTCTCTGCCTCTGTAATTCTGTCTTTCAAATAAATAAATCTTTTAAAAAAGTAGAATAACATATGCCAGGAATGCACTTTGGATCCTAGTTAAGAAGTACTTGCAGGAGAAAAGATGAGATTGAATCCTGAAAATGCTGAATCAAGAATGATGGGATGTAAGCTTACTTAAGTAGAATTTTCTATTACATAATACATTTCCATGATAGAGCAAAAACCTGATGAACTATGCTTTGACTGTCCCATGAGTACTTCAGATGTCTTTTGTGTCCAGGGGCCAGATCAGTAACGAAGTCTCTATCTAAGCAAGGGTGATTACATCTGATCAGCGGTCAGAGGTAGTACTACACTTAGATCACGACAGCAGTGTGCAAGGTGTAGAATTAAGGTGACTCACATCAACATCCCTTAGTATTTTCTTGACTACTTGTAAGTGCAAATGCATATGCACAGTATTCTTAAGCATGAGAAAAGTATCGTCACTAAGACCTCAGATCAGTAAGGAGCAGGGTTTGCGTTCCATCACCATAGAAGAAATCAAAACACAAAGGTGTTAGAAGGGAGTCAAAATTTAGAATAAATGATAAAGGAAGATGATGAGGACAAGATGTGACCCTGGAGACAACTGCAGAGCTGAGTTTACATGTCCCTAACCTTTCTCTTCTAATTCCACTTTGGAAGAACTGCTCCCATAGATATGTGGTGAAGTGTATGTTTGCAGTACCAAGAGCTTTGAATCAGAGCAAAGATATTTTCATGTTTCTGAAGGCCCAGGGCTTTCAGAGTAAAATATGCAGGCAATCTAGGTTAATAGACAGTCGAACAGCAGCCCTAAGAATAAAATATGTCTGAGACATATATCAGTTTATCTCTTCTGAGCTATGTGCTTACATTTCAAAGAAAGATAAAATCCCTAGACATGAGTTTATATTCCAAAGGATTGCAAAATGCTAGGGACTTCTCTCAGAGCAGATTTGTTTACATTAGGGAAATGAGATTTCTCTCTCTTTCTTAAAAGGAGAAGGTGGCAGCTGTATAGCAGATCCTGCATAAGCCCTCAGATTTTTCACTCTAGGCTTCTTCTCTGTAGTACCGGCCCTGAATGTGCAGCTGACAACTGATTGCTTTGCCCCAGGGAGATGAGATAAGGTTAAATGATATTGCTAGTGCAATAAGTCATTCTGATCTCTGATCCAGAAACCTCATGCTTTATTTCAGAAGAAAATCAGCAAATATAGATATAGAAATTTGCCAGGGGTAGATTTTACCAGCCAATGAGATACACTGCTCAGATGTGTTTTCAAGAGGATCTAGTGTGAACAGGGCAGTTGGAAGTCACCCTCTGGCTGCTGCATGATTACTTAACAAGCAGTGCTCATGACAATGGCGTATTCTCTGTTGATTGCCTGGAGGTAATGAGTAAGCATGACAGAAACAGATTTGGGTGGATCCAGCCCAGTATTTTACTCCAGGATGGGACATTCTTTCCTCTGAGGTTTTACATCTGTTTGATTGAGATTTTTTTTCATAATTTCATGACAGTCTGAGACTCTTCCCACAGAATCCTTACTTTCTCACAAATAAAATTGAATAATGGTTCACTCTGCATATAGATGAGATCCTAAACAATATACATTTATGTTCTTGCCCCACTCTCTTCCTTCTACCATCATAAGGTCTGAAGAAGTGGACTATAATGTTGGTCCATTGCAACAATATCACTGCCTTTATTCTCCCAGTGAGAAAGAAGTGATGACCAATAGGTTAAAAGTTTTGATAAGACATATGTACTTAAATGTGTGGAAAGTAAGAAAAAGTTTCAAGGGCATTCATATTTAGTAAAATATTAGAGTCTGCTGTGTATCTCACTTCCCATGTTGGATCATTCTCTCTCTTTTTGATTCTATCAGCTAGTATTCACAGACACTATTCTTGTTTATGTGATCCGTTTGGCTCTTAGTCCTATCATTATGATCAATTGTGAACAGAAATTGATCACTGGGACTAGTGAGATGGCATTGGTACATGCCACCTTGATGAGATTGAATTGGAATCCCCTGGTATGTTTCTAACTCTACCGTTTGGGGCAAGTCAGCTTGAGCATGTCCCGAATTGCACATCTCTTCTTTTCAAATAATTAAATTCTTTATATCTTTTCATATCCCAGTGATCAAACAAGGAATACAAGGGTTTTTTGGTTTATTTTTTTCTTTACCAAATTCATGTGAAATTATGATGTGTAGCCAACATGAATTTGTTTAGAAAATAATGCATATCCAAGATCATTGGCTTTCTACCGTAGAAATTGGAATGTGGGGAAATCTTCACAATAAATGTTATATCCAGTGCCTTCATGTCCATAAATGGCCTTAGTTCACTTTACATTTGAGACATAGAAATAATCTCTAGGTGTCACCTAGACAACTAAATCATAATTAGGAGTTTAGAGCACTCTTACTTGCAAAATTCATATCATTGTTCTAATTTTGCTCATTAGCCCTAGTACTTGGTGTTATTTTTCTTGAAGCTTAGAATTTTGAGAATTTTAGGATATTTGATGAATCCCATTGAGAATGTCCAAATATCAATGTCCTGTGTTCTATGAACTCTATTTAGTCAAGAATGGTCTTTTTGCTTCAGTTGTATGAGTTCCAAAAGCACAATTAAGTTAACAAGAGAACATTTGTTACTTCAATTTTGCCAACTCAAATTTAATATTTTTATTTTCTCCAAAAAATATAGTAGACTTACTATCTTATTGTAATCCCACCATTTACTTTATTTTGATGAAAATACCTGAACTCTGGCATACAGTGTGGGACCCTTCCAGATTTTTCTCATATTTATATTAATCTGAAGACAAAGACTAATTCTTGTTTCCCTAACCCTTGAAGAGGTCCCACCATCTGCTTCAGAGTTTATGTGACAAAAATACTTAAATTTGAAAAGAGGAAGATAAGTAGGGTGGGACTTTAAAACCAGAGAGAACATCATTCTTAGGATTTACAGCTTTTTATCTTGGGGTTATCTCTTTTGACTGCTTTCCTAGAGCTTTGTACTGTCCAGATTGATAGTCTGTCAGGCATTTGACTTGGATATAGTTAATTCTCAGAGTTTAACTTTTTGTGCTATTGAATCAATCTCTTTTTACTTTTTATTAATCTCTACTAGGACTTCTATGGATTTGAGGAACTAGTTTTCCAAAGAAAAATACAGTGATCAGTCAATTTGTCTCTGTCCAGACTATGTAACGCATTAGAAAGAGCGGGAATTGGTCGCTCAGCATCTTTCTCGTTAGTCATTTCTCTAGGAATTTCTACCATATTAACTCTGTCTCTGTGAAAACCTGTTTTAATGTAGAATATAGATCTCATAAAGTAGATTTAAGATGCTAATTTCTATAGAGTTCAAGAAAAAAAAATCAAGTGCTTCAGAATATCAGCCCCTAAATGATCTATGTAG